AACATTTCATTCAGATGAGTGGATATTAGATTGGGGTTATACCTATCATATGTCCCCTAATCGGGAGTGGTTCTCCGATTTAGTAGAACTAAATACAGGAGTTGTTTATATGGGCAAGGAAAATGCCTTGGGATATGTTCAATTCGATTGAAGAATCAAGATGAATCAACCAGAGTTCTGACTGATGTCCGATACGAGCCCATTTTGAAGAAAAATATCATCTCGTTAGGAGCCTTGGAATCCAAAAGCTCAGTAGTCACTATGAGAGATGGAGTTTTAAAAGTCACATCTGGCGCACTTGTGATGATGAAGGGCATCAGGAAAAATAATTTGTATTACTACCAATGTAGTCCAATTATTGGAGCAGTTGCAGCAGCTTCCGGAGGCGATGATTTGGACACAACCCAGTTGAGACATGCTGGAGAGAAATCCTTACAAATTTCGGCAAAGAAATGATTGTTGAAAGGTGCAAAGTCTTACAAATTGAACTTTTACGAGCATTGTGTTCTAGGAAAGCAGAAGAAAATGAAGTTTGGCACCACTATACATAATACAAAAGGTATTATGGATTATATTCACTCAGATGTATGGGGTCCTTCAAAGACACCGTCTTTGGGAGGAAGCCATTATTTTGTAACTTTCGTAGATGACTTTTCCAGAAGAGTTTGGGTGTATCCGATGAAATCTAAAGACGAAGTTCTTCGAATTTTCCTTAAATGGAAAAATATGATCGAGAACCAAACTAGTAGAAAGATCAAACGTCTTTGGACGGACAATGGAGGGAATATAAAAGTAACCCATTCTTTGACGTTTGCCATGAGTATGGTATTATTCGACACTTCACTGTTAGAAATACACCACAACAAAATAGGGTGGCAGAGCGTATGAATCAAACACTATTGGAGAAAGTTCGATGTATGTTGTCTAATGCTGGGTTAGGTAAGACATTTTGGGCTGAGGCTGTGACATATACTGGCCATCTCATCGATCGTTTGTCGTCATCAGCGATAGGAGGAAAAACACCATTGGAGGTATGGTCTGGAAAATCTGCTACTAATTATGATTCCTTACATGTATTTGGATCCACTGCTTATTATCATATGAAGGAATCTAAGCTTGATCTGAAAACAAAGAAGGCTCTCTTTATGGGAATCACTCATGGAGAAAAGGGATTCCGCTTTTGGTGTTTAGACACCAAGAAGATAATTTATAGCAGAGATGCTACCTAAAGAAGGTAACAAATGAAGTTATCCAGATAAGTAGTACTTCGTAACAGGTGGAGCATACTCCAAAATAGGTAAAGTTTCAACAGACGATGATCCCAGAAGTTGATATAGTTGATTCTTCAACTCCAATAGAAGAATCAGAAAATTAAGAGGTTCAAACCCAAGAACCATTAGAGACACTAGAACCACTTGCAGTTATTAATCCAAGGAGAGAAATTCGTAAACCTGCTCGATTTGCTGATATGGTGGCCTATGCTCTTCCATTTATTAATGATGATATCCCTATCACTTACCAAGAAGCAATACAAAACTTGGAAAGTGATAAGCGGAAAAGTGTCATGAATGAAGAAATGCAATCTCTCCGAAAGAACAACACTTGGAAACTGGCATAATTACCGAAAGGTAAAAGAGCAATTGGATACGAGTGGGTATTTGCAAAGAAAGATTGATCTCATAGCAAGAAAGATGTTCACTACAAGGCAAGGTTGGTAGCTAAAGGCTACACTCAAAAGGAGGGAATCGACTACAATAAAGTATTTTCCCCTGTTGTGAAATATTCCTCCATTAGAATATTATTGGTCTTGGTATCACAGTTGAATTTGGAGATAGATCAACTTGATGTAAAGATGACTTTTTTGCACAGTGACTTAGAAGAGGATATTTATATGACTCAGCGAGAAGGATACAAAGATGTTGGTTGTGAGAAATGGGTTTGTAAGATGAACAAATCGCTATATGGATTGAAGCAATCTCTGAGGCAGTGGTACAAGCGATTTGATAGCTTTATGAGGAGGCAAAAGTACACTAGAAGCAAATATGATCATTGTGTGTATTTGCAAAAGCTCAAAGATGGATATTCATTTATCTTCTCTTATACGTTTATGATAAGTTGATCGCTTCGAAGAGTCAAAAGGAGATAAACAAACTAAAGGCTTAGTTGAATCAAGAGTTTGAGATGAAAGATTTAGTTGAGGCCAAGAAGATTCTTGGTATGGAGATAAGCAGAGATAAATAGAGAAAAAAGCTTTATTTAACATAGAAGCAATATCTGAGAAAGGTATTACAATGTTTTGGCATGAATGAAAATGCCAAACATGTAAGTATCATACTGGCTTCTCATTTGAAACTTAGTTCTCAATTATCTCCTAAAACTAATGAAGAACGAGAGAATATGACAAAAGTTTCGTATGCTAATGCAGTTGGGAGCTTGATGTATGCAATGGTGTGTACGCGTCCTGACATTTCACAAGCAATTGGAGTTGTGAGCAGGTACATGCATGATCTTGGAATAGAACATTGGCAAGTTGTGAAATGGATTCTACGGTATCTCCAACAAACCGTGGATGTTGGTTTAGTTTTTGAACAAGATGAAGCACTTGGTCAGTGTGTGGTTGGATATGTTGATTTTGACTATGCTGGTGACTTGGATAAGCGTCGATCAACTACTGGGTATTTGTTTACTCTTGCTAAAGCCCCAGTAAGTTGGAAGTCTATTTTGCAATCTACGGTGGCTTTGTCTACTACTGAGGCAGAATACATGGCAATTTCAGAGGCTGTGAAGGAAGCAATTTGGCTTAACAAGTTGATGGAAGACTTAGGAGTTGTTCAAAGTCACATTAGTCTCTATTGTGACAGTCAGAGCGTTATTCACTTAGCGAAAAATCAAGTGTACCATTCAAGGACTAAGTATATCAACGTGAAGTATCACTTTATGCGTGAGATCTTTGAAGAATGAAATATTCTACTTCAGAAAATTATGACAGCAGAAAATCATGTAGATATGATGACCAAGGTGATAACAATAATCAAGTTCAATAATTGTTTGAACTTGATTAACATCTTGAAAGTTTGAGCACCTTCGGGTGTGTGGCGTTTGTGAGCGCAATTAGAGGCATTACATTAAAATAACTTCATCAAATTTAGGGAATTGCAGAAGTTGAGTAGGCTTGGTAATTTCAAGCCAAGGTGGAGATTTGTTATGTATGGCTTGAAGGCTTGTAAGTTGGCAAGTTGAAGGCTTGCAAGTGGCTTGCAAGTGGCCAAGTTGGGGCAAGTTGACAAGTTGTGCAAGTGGCCAACTTGTGCACATGGTAATTTCATCTCTGGTCCCTAAAATATTAGATAATTTATAAGTTTAGTCCTTAAAACTTAACTGTAAATAGGCCTAAGTATTTCCATTAGAAATCATCCAAAAACAAGTTCTCTATTCAATTTATTTTCTTTATTCTCTCACTTTGGGAATTCTAAAGAATTTCATTTGTTGTAATATTTGTTAATAGTGAAGTTATCATCCGGTGTGATGTCCGATGAGTAAATGATATTTTCATCGAACCTCGTAAATTTGGTATGTTCTCTCCTTTATTGTTCTTTATTCGATTTTTTCATTGTGTTTCAATATTCAATAGTTTGACGGGTTTATCCGCTGTGTAATATTTGGTGTTTTTGATCTTGACATTTCAGATTAATTTTGAAACTACATTCGTATGGGAAATAACTAAGTTTCCAACATCACATCCCTCAAAATCCCCGCCGTTTGCCTCCCAGACGCCAACCCATCACTCATCAAAGCCTTCGCGTCCACCAACACTTCCCTTTTCCTCTCCATCCCAAATCCTCTCCTCCCCGACATCGCCACCAACTGTTCTCTCACCCTCGTCTGGCTCTATAACCACATCCTCCCTTTCTACCCTCGTTTGAAAATCACCCTCGTCTCTGTCGGAAACGTCGTCCCCGATTCCGCCTCAGAAAAAGACTTCACCCCTTGCTTGCTTCCGGCAATCAGGAACCTCCACTTAGCACTCCACGAGCTGGGCATAAAAAAAATCTCCGTCTCCACCACATTCTCGTTCTTCTCCACCATCACCACCGCCTTCCCACCGTACTCCGCTGAGTTCCAACAGCCCGCCGGAGATCTGATCGTGAAACCCTTGCTCCAATTCTTGGAAGAAACGAACTCGTCTTTCTTAATCAACCTTTACCCTTATAATCTTTATCGTCTCGACAGCGAAATCCCCGTCGGGTTCGCTTTGTTCCAAGACTATCCTTTCAATTTCCGGGACGATTTGGTCACCGGAGTGAGATATTTCAACCTGTTCGACATGATGACGGACGCGGTCTTGACGTCGATGGCCGTGATGGGGTATGAGAATATACCGGTAGTTGTGGTGGAAACCGGATGGCCGAGCGGCGGAGGCGAAGCCGGAGAAGTCGAGGCGAACGAGGCGTACGCGGAGATGTATTTGAGAGAGTTGGTGAGGCATTTGAAGTCAGGGGTCGGTACACCATTGAAGAAAGATGGGGTAGCTGAGGTTTATGTTTATGAGCTGATGGATCATGAAAATGCCAGTGGTGATAAGCAAAGAGCGAGAAAATTGGGCATTTTATCTGAAAATACGACTCGAAAATACAATCTGGAGATGTATGATGGAGCCAAAAATTATGGGTTAATGGCGATTTTCTTGGTGTTCATCACATTTTTCTCTTTTTTCTGAAATTAGGAGTGGCAATTGAAGATTCTTCAATACTTTAGCTGTGATTCTATTATAGAAGAGATGTTGATGTTCATATGGTTTTCTCCTTCATTTCACTGTTTCAATTCGTTTCATCATTCACTATTTCAATTCGTTTCAGCTTTGCTTGTTTTGTTAATCGAAACCGAGTTGCCATTAATGGTGGCTGAGTTTTAAGTTTAGCTCTTTTGAGGCGACAAAGCTAGTTAATGATCTATAGCATTATAGCATGTCCATGGCTGAGTCGATCCGAACATAGTTGTTCTAATTCGAAATATGAATATCAAATTTTGTCGAAACTCATCATATTTGCATACGAATATCACTATACAAAGAAAAAGAACACATAATCTACCGCGAAAATCTGCAGTTTTCAAGGTGATTATCAAACTGTGGTACCTTTGGAAGCTTAAACACACGAATTCCCAGAGACCAGCATGTTAAAGCATCCATTTGACTGCTAATTACACTGATTATTTCTTTCCCTTCTTCCTTCAATGCTTTTCTTCGTCTAGAGAAATACTCGCTTGTGTTCGTTTCGGTTTCTTGATTCGACCTGAAAAAAATTTCCCGGAAAATTTTAATCAGCTACATTGAACATATGCAAACCTAGAAATAACAATACGTACCTCATAATCAAAGAAGACCAATTTCTATATCCTATAGAATTAAGGTTCTCAATGGTAAAATTTCGTTGTCTCTCAGGCTTCCTTGATAACAGAATCAAAGACCATCCTCTCGAATGCAGTTTCATATACAATTTGAGTGTCCGTCGTTGCTTTAGGTACATTGCTCCTTCGATGCCGCAGCTTGGTTTGTTCGACTGAGGATCCAAAACAAGAATGTCATCAATGTCCATTAACACCGCATCCACACTATTGTTCAATGGCAAAATGGAATCGAAAAAGCTATCGATCATCCGCATTGCGAAGTCCAAGTCTCTTGCGTACCCTCCTGCTTTGATATGTCTAATGGCGAGACTCCTGCAGAAGGGAGGAACTTCATCAGGTTTAAACCCATTGAGTTCCCCGTGCAGAGTGAGAATCTGGCAGTAACGGTGACTGTCGCGTTCTTTCTCGATCTTGACCATCCCCTTGCTCCGACTCTCACATGATTGCAACATTACTGCTAATGAAACCACCATTGTTACTAATAGAACCCCAGTGACTAGAAGACCAGCAATGAAGATTGTTGCAGCATAAGATGTCATGTAGAATCCTGACTCAATGTTGTAACGGCTTCCGATCTCCGTTCCTAATTTACGAGCATGAGCAAAGATTAATATGCTTATATATCGGGCAACAAATTCAGTCCGGGCATAGTGGATACTTAAAAGCGTACCACTGTCACCCGAACTTAAGAGGCTCTGGCCGGAGAACTCTCGCTCCATTTGATGTCCATAAGCAGACATTGTTGATTCAATCTAGCTTGATTGCAGGGCTGCAAATAGCTCCTGATTTCGTAGAAGGGTCACCTGCAAAAGCAATATGAATACAAAGATCTCTCGATATTGACATGAACTGGAAAACCCTATCAGGTTAACCTGAATCTAAATCTAAACCGACTCGATCTAATCATAAAAGGTAAGCTCAAGATGACTAGGCATATATTGAACGGACTGTATAATTTTTCATGAATTATCCGTGTACGATCCTTGATTATAGAGATATAGCCTCCAGAGGTCCTATCCATATCGGATACATATTCATGTTCAGCACTTGCACTGGATTTAAAGCAACATACAACTCAAGATGACTTAAAATCTGAAATGATCCAGATTCCAGAGAAATAACTTGAAATTTTCAGAATCCGAATCTGACCCCAACAACATTAGTTTAGGCCAATCTAAAATCAACCCAGAAACAACTCACTGCTCAGCACATCAATTTAAGAATAAAACAACATAGAAAAGCACCATGAAACGCAGAACAAAGCAGAACGCAAGCTGGTGTTCTTCTTATAAGATATCATAAACAAAACCTTGAAACAAAGGAGATGAGAGACAGAACCTGGGAAACGCAACTGAAGAAATGGGGAACAGTGTATGAAAAATCAAAAAACATCGAAGCTCAGTCACAGGTGATTTGAAGAACTGTCTTTCTCGTGGTGAGACCTCCTTTTTGTTTAATGCTAGCCAATGGGGTTTTGACAGGGACGATGATGACTTAAACATGTGACATTTGTCTGAGTTATTTCCCAGATCGAAGGGTAGTTGACAGCATGGAGATTATTAGTTCCTACGACTATGGTTGGTTTGCTTAAGGAACTAAAACATCTTTATGTTTTCCATATCCAAAATCTCTCCATTTTCGTGGGGTCCACCACTTCAATCATGCACTATATGGATCCACCGCGCACCAATAATGTCGGGAAGACGAGATGTCGACTTTATTGATGCTGTTTCCTAGCTTAAATTATTCTATCTTTTCTAATATCAGATTTGTTTTTCTATTATCATTCCGTTAATAATTAAGAAATATTTTGAAAAAAATATAATTTTATAATATTTTTTATAATTAAAAAATATAAAATTTAAATTTCAAACCTTAAATAAAAATATAATATCACCAACTACATGTTTGTAATTCAATTTCTGATCTAGCACAAAAATGGGGTGTGAACTTCAAAAAGACTACTTCTATAAGAAATTCCAAGCCATGTTGGGTTTGAGTTTTATAGATAAACCGTAATCCTAAATCCCAATCATACATTTTGGGTTTCAGTTTTTTGTTTTTGTTGAAATTTATGACCCAGGCTCAAATTATATATATATATAAACTTCAAATTTTAGTTTCAAAATTAAAATAAAAATGATAAAATTAAGATCAAATTATACCATTAGTCTTTACATATGTTGTCTAATACATATACTGCAATTTGAACTTTTTTTAAATGCATTCTTTAAATTTTAGAATTTGATTCTAGTTTAATAATTAGGGGTGAATATTCAATCAAATTGAGTTGACAAATTTTATTTTATAATTTAAATTTTATTTAGTTTTTTTAAAAATTAAGTTTATGAAATTCAAATCAAGTTATTCGAGTGTCTCTTCAATATTTAATTATAATTATTTATAATGCTATGATACAAATTGATTCTAATTTAAACGAATTTCATAATAATATAAGTTATACATAGATATTTTTCATTTTCTTTTTCACATGTGTAAGTAGATATTTTTCATTTTCTTCTTCACATGTGTAAGTAGAATATAAATGAGTCAATGAATTGATGGAAAGAAAGAGTTTATAAAAAATACAGCCAAATGATCAAATTGAGTAAGTATAAAGTCAAGATACTAAATTGCAAAAATAATAAATTTGATGTAAAAAATAAGAATTGAAGTTAAATAAATATTCTATAGTGATAGTGGAGTATATGATTCAAATTTTATAAAAAAAAATGGACTTAAAACAAAAAGAAAGAGCAATTGAAGAAATGAGAAAATCATGCAAATTTAAAGGATTAAATTATATAAAGAAAAAAATTGATTTTAAAACTAGAAACTAAAGCTATATATTCTAAAATGGTTTAGAAATACGTAATTTAAATAAACAATGGACTTAAAATAAAGGACGGATTAAAGAAATAAAAAATTGACTAAATTGCAAAACAATAAAGTTTATTTTTCGATTTTCGATTTGATAAATTACAGACTTACTTGAACTTAAAAATTTACATATTAATTTAAATTAATTTGAATAAATAAAAAAAATCTAACTTTTTAAATCAAATGGAATTTTATTCGTCCCTGTTCCGAAGTTGCAAAAGCCTTCTCTCTATCACTTCTCTGTGCAAATATTGGAGCTTAGCCACACATTAAATGAGAGATGCTAATTTCACCATAGCCTAACCCTCTCCTCCGCCACGTGTCGAGACATCGTTAGCTGCTTATCTGCTATCCCCCTTACTCAAACTCCCTCGAAGCATTCTGAAAGATTGATAATCAAAAGCTTCTTTCTTCTCTTTGAAGAACTCCAAGAGACAACAATGGAGATTAGCATCACGTGCTATGCTCATGGGATTGTTCTTCCTCCCGTTTCCTCCAAGCATTCCACTGCATTAGTCTCCCCTCCATCAATATCTCCCTCTTTCACCTCAAGAGTACATAATCATATACATATCTGCAAGCATGCATACATACATACATACATACATACATACATACATACATACATACATACATACATACATACATACATACATACATACATACATACATACATACATACATACATACATACATACATACATACATACAAATGTATGTATATAGCTTGCATTCACCATGATATATCTGTGTTGCAGAGCCTTAAATCGAGCTCGCTATTCGGAGAGTCGCTGAGGGTTGTTGTGCCAAGGTCATCACTGGAGGTTCCAAAGGCAAAGAGCACTTCCTTGTGACAAAATGTGAGATTGGAGACAGTCTGGTGAGTTTACTAATTGGTCTGTGTCTTTTTATGTATCGGGGTTCGGTTTCGATTTCGAACGGTTTTTAACACACGGTCTTGTACTAGGAAGAGTTTCTTTCGAAATCGACATCGGATAAGGGATTGATTAGTTTGATGATGTGAATGGGAGAAGCATTGAGAACGATTGCTTTCAAATTGAGGACAGCTTCATGTGGAGGCACTGCTTGTGTCAATTCCTTTGGGGATGAAACAGCTTGCTGTTGATATGCTCGCCAACAAGCTTCTTTTCGAGGTTCGAAAAAGATATCTTTTCATCCAAGTTTTCGATGAAATTCTCTAGAAATTAACAGTTTCTCGGTTACAATCGGTAACTTATAAGCCTTGACGTACTCTCACTTCAGCAAATATGCGTGTCCGAAGAAGTTCCCGAGCTCCAAGACACGGGGGAGGCCCTGCTGAAGGTCTGCAATTTTTTCTTTCTCGTTTTCTTATGGTTCAAGTAAACCTGAAATGTGCGTAGATATAATTGATCACTACATGTAACAAGCGGATTCAGTGTGGCTTTCGATCTGCTCGATGGTTCTAGCATTGTCGATACGAATTTCACCGTAGGCACCATCTTTGGGGTCTGGCCGGGTGATAAGTTAACAGGTATAACGGGACGAGACCAAGTTGCCGCTGTGATGGGAATTTTTGGTCCTCGGACGACATACGTTCTCGCACTTAAGGATGTCCCAGGAACCCATGAATTTCTCCTCCTTGATGAAGGTATTTAGAAGTTGCAAACAACATTTTATCAATCAAATTTTGCATTCATGAAAATTGATGTTCTTCAGTGGTGCATTTCATCAGGAAAATGGCAGCATGTGAAGGACACCTCTGAGATTGGTGAAGGGAAAATGTTCACCCCTGGAAACTTGAGAGCCACATTTGTCAACCCTGAATATGATCAGGTTCATACACAACTTTTTCGATTTCTTTTATCGACCGATTTTGTTCCGATTCCTCCTTTTTTTTAAAGTACATATACGTAACATTAGTGTTCAATACATATTTAAACATGCATATTCGTATTTGACACTCACATCCAAATTCGAATAATATGTACTTAATTTACCAACTTTTACCCTTATGTGAGAGCGAAATACACACTGAGGTACACCGGTGGAATGATGCCTGATGTTAACCAGGTATATCCCATGCTTCTCCCATATCCTTTGGTTTTCATCCTAAATTATAGGCGTAAAGGTATTTTAGTCCTCAAACTCAATTTAAATTATCAATATTATTTCTCGACGAAAAATTCATCAATTGTGAATAGCACTAATGTTGTCCTTTTATCGATGAAAACTGTAATTTATCATTACATTATTGACGTGACAGTTAGTTATATTAATATGAAGATCCACGATGCTAGCATTTAGTTCGCATTATTGATATGACGGTGCACGTATAAATAAGAGACGATTAATTGATTTTCTTAGAACAGTCGAGGGTTTAATTTTTTTTCTCAAACTTCCTAAAAATCTGTTAAACTTTTTTATTGTGTCATCGGTCTAAAAGAATCAATTAAACTCTTTTTCCATATCATCATTATAAAATAATCACTTAAATCTCTCTATCTTGTCATTATACAAAATTTGGACAACCACACTAATATAATGAACTGTCACATCAGTACTCTAACAATTAATAATAATTTCATCGGTTAAATAACGACATTGATGCAATTTGTGAGTTCGAACACCAAATTAGGTACTTTTTTTTAGGACAACATTGATAATTTGATTCGAGTACGAGGGCTAAAAAAACCTTAAGCTTAAATTATATTTTTGTCATGGCTTGAAACACAAAATAGCCGCTGAACTTGACAGATTAGGTCAAATTGACCTCTAAAGTTGATAAGATTGGTTGTCCTTTAATTTGTTTTGGGTCAAATTGGCCCATGAACTTATAAATTACTACAAGTTCAAAGAGGTTAATTTGATTGAATTTAACAATATTCAGGGGTTAATTTGACCAAGTTTATTAAATTCAAGGGTTAATTTGACCAAATTTGTAAAATTCAAGGGTCATTTTGTATTTTAAACTTTTGTCAAATTTAAATGATTTACTATTTGTTCTCTATTTTTTCTATTTACGGGTCATTGCAAAAGAGAAGCGTATATTTATAAATGTGACCTCACCATCTGCGAAGGCCAAGCTGAGACTGTTATTTGAGGTAGCTCCATCGGGGTTCTTGATTGAGAAAGCCAGTGGTTACAGAAGCGATGGTCAACAATCGGTGTTCGACAAAGTGATCACGAACTTCGACGATTGAACTCAAGTTGCGTACGGTTCAAATAATGAGATTATCCGGTTCGAAGAAACCCTATACGGATCTTCGAGGCTCAGTGCAGGGGTCCCTGTTGGAGCTACTACTTGAACAATGATGTTTCACTTGTTTCCCTTCTGCAGACATCTTTTCCTTGTACCTTAATTATCTCAAAAACTCTCAAGTAATCCCACATGTAGAAGTTCTGGAAATAGTGGACGAAATGAAATGCTTGAATTACTATGAAATTTTGACTTTCGGGTTCGATTTCTAGACAGGTTTTCGAATTGAAATCCAGAAGATAATGGAAATTCCTATGAAGTTAAGCTTTGGATTTGGTATAATCAAAGGATAATGTCAAGTATGAGCTATACTATAAGGCATTAGAATTTCAGTGTATCATCACATATTAATGGTAAAATTTCACTTTGCCCCCTCCCTCTTTTGAACTTCACTCATAGTCCCCTAAAATGGTTTCTCCTCTTCCCCCCTGATAGATACATGTCCAATAT